GAATGGGATGAACTTGTTCGGAGTTACTGCGCGTTTTGAAAATTCATTCCTCCTCTCCTAATAGAGACTAAGGGAATGAAACCACTGTCATTCATTGAGAATATTATTCTCGGTTGATAGATGTTGCGTTCATTCCCTCTTCGCAATTAGGCAGGCAGGGGGGGGGAGGAGAAATGAATTTTCTAATCGGTGGAGCCCCCCGGGCTCACTCGATGCCGGCGAACCGTTCGGGGTTACTCCGCGCTTTTGAAAATGCATTCCTCCGTTCCTACTTGAGTAGGATAGGATAGAATTTCCCGAAGATTCCAAAAAGCTTCATTGTTCTTCGTGCATGAAAAATGGGGATCGTCGGGAAACTCCTTGCGATCGCAAGACTTTTACCGATTTATTTTTCTCCGTGTGACGTCCGTATAGAAGATCAAAAAATCAATTTAATAATAGGATAAATGGAGTGGAGATAAAAACGTGAATGTCTCGGAAATTAGATGCGATAAAATGGGCCCTTTTCACGTGGACGTACACATATAATTGGACTGAAATTTATAAAAAAATTTAATTTGCTATGACGAAATTCCTTGAAATTTCCGTATTACGGCAACGCGATAAAAATTCCCAATAAATGTTCCCGGAATTTCCGCGAAAATATTACTGAAATCTACAGACATCATTCCTGAATTCAAAACTTTCCTTTGATTTTCAGGATCATGTCACTAGAAATTTTTTACAAAATGACTCAATTTTAACATTGCTTGCTCATTGCATTTCAGAAATGCAGCTGCCTAAAAAAGACACATCGATTCCTAGGAACAACGTTTTTTTTTTCTCGGTAAACACAGACAATTTCTCTGAGAGAAATCTCAGAGTGGAATGCCGGGATTTTTTTTCACTCTGGATTAATTTTTTAAAGATTCAAACTGATACTTGATTCATTCACATCGTTTCATTTCATCGGAAGATATTGTCGATTGGAGACAATTTTTGATGGTCACTGAAGGAGGCAAACCATTCATCTAAATCTCGCAATAATCTGCGAAAAATCTTATTCATTAATCTATTATTGAATTAATCCCATTAAGTGTAGATCGCTGGAGAACGACGAAAACGTTCCAACCGTTTCAAACGAGTTGGAATGTTTTCTCTCTCCTTCTTCTCCATTTTCTTTCTCACTCGCACTCGTTAATTTTGGTGGAGGACGGGCACGTGACAGCGCGACGGAGACGACAATGAGTGGGAGCGAGCGCGATACATATTCCTTTCTCACTCAGGGGGGGAATAAATATATATAATCGAACATTACTATAGTAAAAAAAAAACAAAATCTGCACAATTATTCAATAGAATCACTGGAAAACTATAAAGTTTTCCAGCGACAGCGCTGGGATTTTCTATGAATTTTTTTACCTACGTGTCAATGATAAATATGTCGAGAAAAAGGAAAAGACTTTTAGATCATTAGATTGTGCATTCATTATACTATTGATTATAATATGTTCGATTTTACATTCCTGACAATTATTACAAAATGCGAGGAGCTACCGTATTGAGAACCTCTTTCCGGTTATCGACAAATTTATGCTCGGGCCCTATCATACCAACAGTTCCGTACGCTCCATCGTAGTCCATGCCCCACCGCTACGATTTTTGTTGTTGAACACTTTACATTGGCCCTGTTCATCTCCCCTATAATCTCTGCTATTAAGCTAACGATTTGTAGTGTATCCAATGTGACCAACCTTTGGGGCGTAAAATACCTAGTATTATACATGTATACTAAAGACCGTATGAGAATGGTCCCGATTGGGTACCACCACTCTTTGGAGTTCAGGCATGCGTCGATGTCCCCCATCACTCAAACCTGAGACCACTCTCATAAGGTCCTCAGTATATTATCATATTATACATCGAGTAATATACATAGAGTATTATACATGTCAAAACCTCGAGTGTAATATACATGGTATTTTACGTGTAGAATACTGGGTATTTTACTGTATGTATTTTACATGCCCAACCCTGCTGGTCCTTGCTGTTAAATAATTTGCAATTTTTTTTTGCATAAATAAGAAAAGCATGAGATGAGAGCGATGCGTTCCGCTACTTTCAATACGGGGAAAAAGTTTCATTGATTCTCATTCCATAGAATCCAAGAAAACTTGTTTTTGAGATAGTTTCCATAGAATCCAAGAAAACGTCGTTGTGGTCGGTTCCGTTACCCCTTAAGAGTAAGACGGCCCATGGTAACGCACCTTCCCGCCGAATTATCTGTCTTACCAATAACTCTTGAAATGTCCCGTAGAGGGATAACGGTCGAATAGCCAATGCAGCTGGAGCCATAAAAAAGAAGAAGAAGGAGATTGATAGGAAAGTATCAGTGAAATTTACGCTCTGACCCAGCTTTTTTCTGGCCATGGTCAATACTGCTTCGTTTGTACCTCCCCGACGCCGTGTATCTGAAAAATGAAGAAAATGGCTAATTACATGGCCAGCCATACAAGGGACGCCTGCTAGCCTACGGTACCACGACGTTTGTCAAGATCATTCTGGTAGAGAAGTTCATGGTCGCATGAGCAATAGGAGTATGACAAATTTACGCAAGTTCATAGGTAATATATATGAGTGAAGTATTAATAATATTCAGATTCTATGACTCCCCATGGGGCATCAGGTGGACGTAGTTGGATAGGGTTATGTTTGAATTATCGTATTAAAATTGTTTCACTCTTCGTTATAATCACTTTTTTACAATGAAGCGTTACGACGATTGGATTCGTTTATAGATATCGGGGCGAATTTATTAGACCCTATGTATCAGGGGATTTACCATGGATCTCAGAAACATCAGCCTGACTTGAATATGGTACTGGAGAGAAGTTGGAAGAATAATTTGTCGAGGATTATCATTACTTCTGGCAGCCTTGAGGAGAGCAGAAAAGCTCTTGCACTTGCCAGAACAGATTGTGAGTATGCAGAGCTTTTTGGATTATTGAAGAAGATAGAATTAGTGGAGCATCATGCACTCTAAATGCACAAATAATTTAGTTGAGCTCCTTTAGTGATTTATTTCAAATAAAGCCATTCTTTTCTGTTGGGGACCGAAATTATTTCACATGAATTGATTATTTTGACTGCTTTATCTCATAAAATGTTGGCTGGTTATTGAGTCGGATACATTTTATGAAGGTAGCGCGGTTATGTGTGGCATCAAATCAACTCCTGTATTCTTGTTTATCTTTTAAATCTCAGATGATGAAAATATATTTTTCATTCCATTCATATACATAACAAACGTTGTAAATAGAGGTTGACCCTTGATGAGGCAATTTCATTCAAAGTCGTATCAGATCCGAATTACATCCGAAAGTTCCCGAGTAAGTTGTCAAATATTGATATAATTGAATTATTTTTATCATTGTTTCATGCAGCAAGATTATTTACAACAATTGGAGTTCATCCAACTCGTTGCAATGTATTTGAAGAATTTGGCGATCCCGAGGAGTACTTAAAGTCAATGTCAGCTTTAGCGTCGAATAATCGTGATAAGATCGTCGCGATTGGAGAAATGGGTCTGGACTACGATCGTTTAAATTTTTGCTCGAAGGATATACAGAAGAAGTATTTTGAAATGCAACTTGCTCTGTGTTCGAGTCTCGGGCTACCGATGTTCCTGCACTGCCGGAATGCCTCGGAGGACTTTATTAATATACTCAGGAAACACAAAGGAGAGCTTACGGAAGGGGTAGTACACTCTTTCGATGGGAATCCAGAGGAAGCTAATAGTATTTTGCAATTAGGATTGTATATTGGCATCAATGGCTGGTTCGTGATATTTTCGTGTATTAAATTTTTTATTTAACATGAGTTGTATAGAAATGTCGCAAGGATAAAACCTCACAAAGGTCATGTCTCGTGAGGTTAAAATGTCGCACAGGTCATCCCTAGCGAAGGTATTACGTTACAAGGATCATCACCTGCAAGAGTCAAACAATGAAAGCAAACAAGAAATTCTGAAGGATCAAACGACCACGAGGGTTAACCAGGAGAGACAGACTGGGCCATCACCGGGGTCAAGTTAGAGAAGAAAGCAAGACAATCACAAGAGTCAAACGATCGCGAGGATTAAACAGAAGAGACTTGAAAGTCATTATCCTCCCTGCTCCTGTTATTTCACTCTTGTGTTCGTTTGGCCCTTGTGAGTTATGCTTTTGGACTCGCTTTGGACTTGCGACGTTGGACTCTTGCGAGATATAATCCTTCCGCTGTTTGACCCTCGCGCTCTTAAACTAAAAAAATTGAATTCAGACGTAAATTTTTTTTCTTTTTTTCAGTTAAGGATATCCAAGTATTTTTTATAGTTTGATACAGACCTCATTATAGATTCAACCATTTTCAATCATCAAATTTGGCAATTAAATTACACGCGAAAAATTTGAAAAAAATGATGAACATTCAGCGTCAATCAAATTACATTTTGCACAGAATTATTTTTTAAATAGTCGTTTATAAATAAATAATTGGGTTTAGGTTTCACGTGCGGATGGTCGAACTAGCCTCCCCTATGCCACCGAATGCAACTTCGAGGTATTTAGTTCCGCCTGAGTTGAGGTTCGGATTATAGTTACAACCCGGCTTTAATAGCCAGTCTTAACAAGTGCGATACCTCCTTGTTTGCGATTTGATCAGTTGTGGGCAATGCGGTCCTCCAACAACGTGCTCTCATCACAACTAGTGCTGGACACACAGGATGTGAAGACTGTCCTCTTTCTCTTTGCAGAATCTGCAGAGGGCATCCGCGGTGACGCCTACACTGAGAGAAAAATGACTACGTTCTCAAACAAGTCTTGTTTGGCCCAAAAAAATCGCTAGTTGAAAATTGGCAAAATAAAAATTAGTTTGGTTCGAATTTGGTCCTGACTTTTTTGCAGGCTTTCATATTTTTCCAGCGGTTGCTTTGTCTCTGTCTGAGTTTGCTTTTAATAATTCTGTTACCCATAGCTAGGGGGACTCCGACTGGCTCTGCTTCGGTTACACTCAGTGACCCTTGCTTCGCCAGTCCGTCCGCTACTTCATTACATTACATTCCATGGTCTCCCAGAGTAGCTTTGAGTCAGCACTGGGGTTCGTGAGTGCTTTGATAGCAGTCTATCTGACCAAATATATACATACTTGCCCTTTGTCAACCGATCTTCCGGTAGTTCTGTGCATTTTTTTATGGGAAGAACTTCTGCTTGGAAAACTGTCGCGGTGGCCCCTAGGGACTAGCTACTTTTATATTTTTCCACTGGCCCATACAGTCCAGCTCCGAAGCGATCTCTGGACCCTGAGCCATCCGTTTACCAGTGCATGACATTGGTACCTGGTGTTTTATTAATCGTTTTCCAGTTTTCCCTCTCCGGAATATAGGTTTGAAAGGCCTCCCTGATCTGGTACTTTCTGGTCATTCTGTCTTGGGGCATGCACAAGGAGCTTTTCTTAAGGATAGCCAGCTTGACGTGTGCCGCCCCCGCCGGGATCCATTCTCCCTGACACATGACCCTGTTAGGCTGCTGACCGTGCCTTGCACACCACTAGAAGATCGAGTGGTGGCAGGTGAAGAGCGACTTCTAGTGCGTCTGTTGGTGTCGTTTTCATGGCCCCTGTCGCTATCCTTAGGAAATCGCCCTGGAGGGGCTTCAGCCAGTTCCAATCAATAATTGAAACTGTTTAAATTTTCGGAAACCTTATTTTCATAGACATGAAATTGATTTCTGGTGAAATTATGAATATGAATACATTTATTAAGTTTTCGACAAAATTATGTTTATGGTGGAAAATTGACGGTTTATAAATGATTTATAGAAAATGCTCGTAATTTTCAAAAAATTGCAATTTCTTAATTATTTCATCAATCTTCCTCCAAAAGAAATTTCCAAAAGATATTTTTTTTCAGATTTTTCAAAGGTTTTCTAACAGTTCAATATCGAGATTCAAAGTCAGACCTGCAAAGTTTAAATAAAACAATCATTGTAAAATGTCCCGAAACTTAGGGTTAAATGGGGCTCAGATGAAAGCTCTGATGTTCGACTACAAAAGTAGAGCATTTTTTTTTCACTGTAGAAAAAATAGCCAAAGTATTTGGATATTCTTAATTAAGCGATACCAACATTAATTACGCTCTTCAATAATAAATAGGTTGTTACTCCATTGATCCTCTTAGGACCTGAAAGTGTGACTGAAAATTTTCAATTGGAAAATTTTATGTCAGCCATCTTGTAAGCTTTAACGCCGCCACTCGTCAATGTAATATCGCGAATATCGTCTCATCTGGCAGTATTGACCATGGCCAGAAAAAGGTGGGTCAGAGCCTAAATGTCCACATCTACTTGAGCACACGCATTTTCTCTTCAAGAGAGCAGATCACCGCTTTGAAGGCCACACAACAATGTGCGCGGCAATTTTGTCCACCTCCAGTTGTCCACATGAAAGATTGGCACATCACTGGAAGTACACATGCTCGATTGTCACACTCCTTAAATATACGAAAAAAATTACAGAATTCAATTGTGCACTTGCATTAAGTCCGCACAAAAGTATTGTACACATAGTATTGTCAACTTTCCAAGATTGCTCATGCATCTAATTCCACAGAACCTTTCAACACATTGAAATTGATACGTTCGCCAAGTGCACAATCATATTCTCCACATTATAGAATAAGTAATCATATCTACACATGGCGTGTTTCAATTTCCTCAATGTCTAGTTTCAACAACACACCAAAAACGTGTGGAATTTCATTTAAAAAAGTGAATTCCGTATGTTTTAGATATTCAGTTTGATAAAAAAAATAAAATATCGGTGTGTTGTTCAATCTACACATTGTGGAATTGGAAATGCGCAATGTGTAGATATGATTACTTATTCTATAATGTGGAGAATATAATTGTGCACTTAATGAACGTGTCGATTTCCATGTGTTGAAAGGCTCTGTGGAATTGGATGCATGTACAATTTTAAAAGGTTGACAATTCGCGATCGCAAAATCGATTTCTCGCCGTCTGGTGGGGGTTTGTAGAATTACTATCTTGCGGAACCAATCTGATGGTAGTGCGTCAAGGCTCTGGAGTATGAAATAGCAAATTATTCATTGATGTAGACACAAAAAATGTAGACCTAAAAAAGTTCATTACCAAAATTTTTTAACTTGCTTTCGGTTACAAGATATTCAACAAAAAATGGACTCAACCAACTCGGCTAATTTCATTATAGAATATTCATCTCTACATGAAATACTTACGCCGCTTTATATAATCGTCAAGGGAGAAATGTTGACTGCAAACTTTCATGTTTTCATCGTAAATTCTTCTCAGTTTCAATGCTTCCATCCACTTGTTCCGTAAAATTAAATCGGATGGAAAACTATGGAAACTTAAATTCAGTTTATCCTTTACTTTGCACTGTGGAACACAGCATCCCCTTTTCGAATTCTTGAGATAATTGTTCTGTGCCATTTTCATAAACAATCGGTAGGTTATACGATCAAAATTTAGTTCACGGCGTGTACTTGGAACAATTTGATATTTCAGCACTATTTGAGGTTAGGGTTCTGAGCAGCTCCGCAAGTTAGTAGTTCTCCACGGTCCCGCATTTTTGGCCATAGCGGCTGACTGCGGTTTTGCGATCACGAATAGTATGTGTGCAATACTTTTGTGCGGACTTAATGCAAGTGCACAATTCAATTGTGTAAATTTTTTTGTGTATTTAGAGGGTGTGGCAATCAAGCATGTATACTTTCAGTGATGTTCCAATCTTTCATGTGGACAACTGGGGGTGGACAAAGTTTCCGCCACTGATCTCTATATAACTGGATGGCTTGTTCGTGTCCCCTAAAGCGCTTCTGAAGCAAATTGAAGGCTCACCCAGCGCCCCTATCACCGGCGGTGGTACTAAAATATACAACAATGTGCATGCGTGGGCATGATATACGAAATGGGGGGTGGTAATATGATNAATACAGGGATGTCTCGCTGGGATCGTCGAGGGCGGTGGGTTGCCGAGGCCCATGTATGGGTGGTTTATATTGGGAGCAACGGCTCCTTCAGTTTATCCGATAGGGCCGGAATTGTTGTCTTTCTTCGGCTGATGTATTCGTGATGTGCAAGCGGGTGTAGAGGGGTGATGAGGAGAAAATCGAGGGAAGGGGTATCCAACGGTGGCGGGATTTTATCATTTAGGGGCAGTGTGTAGTTGGGCAAAGTATAAAATAAAAACAAATAAAAATAAAGAATCGCCTCGTCACAGTTAATAAACAATATCACAAGACAAATAATAACACGTGACTCAACTCCACAATGAAANATTTTACCACCTTTATGCTCATGAAAAATGATGAATGGATGAAAAACAAATCTTGTCCAAATGGTATCCATCAAGGGGTTTTATTCCTATTCTATTCATTTTTCTATTTTATCATTTGTTATTTGATTGAATCCTTCAATCGCCAAGGGTGAATATCGACTATACGATATTACATACTCACTCATGAAACGATAGATTTTTCCATTGTGTTTTATCTTTCTTACAATAAACACAAACCATTGTAACTCATATGAGATACAATGTTTCAACAACTTAATTTTAAATTATTTTCCTTGGTAAGTTATGTGACCTTTCAATATTTAATTAATATTATTTCCTAAAAAGGGGATTTAGGCCGATTAAATAATGAGGACAAATGAGGGGTAAAATTAACTAAATATCTATATTTCTATTAATTTACATATTAGATCGTCGTAAGACGTTAGAAATGCCTTTTACTTGGATCTAGGGTTATGGGTAAG